CGAGGGGATAAGGAAACTCGCGGGGGGGGGGGGAGACAACGACGACGTACCTCATATACGTCCCACAGCAATATTGTTTTATCAAAAGACCCCGTTGCCAAAGCGTCCCCCATGGGATTGAACTGCAGACAATACACGGCTGCAGCATGACCGGTCAAAAGCATGGTAGATGCGGCCAAGTGCGACGTCCGTCCTGGGGCTGGGGGAGCACTGCTTATTGCCAGCGTGCCGGAACTCTCCGGAACCGTGGCCAGGGCGCTATCATCGGCGCCAGTCCGCCTTGCCTCGTCCTCAGGGCCTTCATCCATGCTATAGATGCCTAAAGTATTATGGTGATCAGATAGGTATGAGTTAGTCGTGGTTATAACAAAGGCGGATGCAGTAGAGGGGAAGGCATGAGGGAGAAGTCAAGACGCCACAAAGCAAGAAGTCAGCCCTCAAAATGGAAACCTGACCATCAAGCTCTCGTATCTCACGGCACCCTATTAACAAGATAAGAATCCAACAAACAATTGTTGTTGTCGAAATGGACCTGTCGTTGCGAAACTGAACCCTTCGGCGTCCTGTGTCGAGACTTGAGCGCTCAACTTCCGAGTCTGTGCGGTCGACGGCCGTGGAAGGGGGGAGGTTAAATGACTTGGTCTGGCCTACGTTTACTACTCGTCTGGTCGTATTGTCGACTTTCCACCACCCGGTGCGTGTCTTTTTGATTTCAATGACTCGACACCAGGCATAGATTTTTGAGGTGGCCTTCGTATCAAGTAAGAACAGTCAGTCTCTGGAAGAGGAAATGCGCTCCATTTCATCGTAGTGTCTCAGAAAGCATCGCGCAGCTTATGACGCTTTAAAGCCCCCCGTATCTCTTTTGTAAGATTAGTGTCATCTAGTATTACTAAAACGTCGGAGGATAGAGTGAAAGGCGTAGAAGAGACATTTTCGATCAACGATATTTCCTAATTACCTCCGAAAAACTTTTTTTTAAAATGGAAAAAAACAAAAACAAAAAGCCATGAGAACGAAATGATTTGATTCCCTTTTCCTGAATGTAAAAAGGATTTTTGAGGTCGCATGGCACTGGGTCTACTTCGTTTCCTCGGGAGAGAGCCTTGGGACTATTAAGTACACATCGATGATTAGCAGGAAGCCGATTGCTGTGTCTCTCAATCTACTTCTCGCACATGAAAAATTCTAATCGATGGCAAATGCTCGTTTAAGTCAAGCATTGTTCCAAATAGGATGAGTAGAACCTAGCATTTCTACAAAATGATGTTTGATTGGGCTACGTCAGTCGCTCGACATGGAGCACATTCCAAAATCATTAATCCGGTCTCTTTTACGTGCCATGCTAAGTTTATTCACATATCCATTTTTATTGCTATGCTTTACGTATCATTACTCAAAGCCCGGCGCTCTTCTTCCTCCATTCTCGCAAACGTATCCCGGAAGGCTTGCACTGTTCGCGCAACGCTACCTTCTATTGAGGTGATCCCACTGATGACCGCAACGCTGTCAGCACCCGCACGCAGGACATTACCGCAATTGAGTGGCGTGATTCCCCCGATGCCACAGAGATGGACCCGTTCGCGGAGGCAGGCTTGTCGAAGCGCCGCGTCCACGTCCGCCATCAAGGCTGGGCCTTCGACCTCAAGCTTCTCGGGGTGACTGCCTGTTGGAAACATAGTGCCCACCTGCTTGAAGGCATTGGGTCGAAAGGGATAAGCTAGGCCCAGTCGGCGACGGACCAGGACGTGAGATGCGAGTGCTCCAGCTCCCACGTACCTGCAGGTTGTCGACACGTCTGCTTGCGGCTTTTACGGCCGCCTCCTAGATATGAAGATAGGTAAAGGCATCGAAAGTGGTATTTGGACGGGATTTTCTACTGAGACAACCTCCTCCATCCTTCCCTCCCGCTTCTTTCTCGCACGCACCACACTGTGTACGGAGGCACCCATCACAGGCCCCTGTCCACTCCCCCTCTTACGATCCGTGCGCATGGAGGGCACTAAGTGGAGCGAAGATTCAGGAAAGTGAATCCCATCTGAGTACTCCCGAAGCTCAGGATTTCCGTTGAGGAACAGAAGGGTCTTCGGGCTCCCGGAAGGGACGCTGGCAGTATCAAGGATTTCCCGGCACCGAACGACTACGGATTTTAAAGCCTGGAATGTATCGACGCAGGAAAAAAAAAGTCAACAGTCAGTCATAACGCCCTTCAGCCTACTCGCTCACCTCAGATGGCATCTCTTTGTCGCGAATTTGCACAACCGGAACTCCGGCTTCGCCGCATTGCTTGATCTGTGAGGGTTAATGCAATGAGAAATAAGCATTATGACATACACGCATGTCTGTACAGATTGCTCACTTTTTCGAACCAAGCATCTTGCACGCCCTTAGCCGGGACAGGCGGGGTTACGTATACGAGATAGGGCGTCTGTAACCCTAGCAGACCGGCCTTTCCCGTAGAAGGAGCACTTCCAAAGGCGCTCAAGGGCTTTGCCATTGCCACACCACGTCGCGAATACGCAAAAGAACGAATCGACAAAGAGAGTATAGTCCAGGCTGCTGTCTTTGCAATATGACGTGCTGAACATCCTTCTTGTCTCGTCATGTAGATGCTGTGTTTTGACAGTGGTATTAAGTATGGTATTCTTTTACATGGTGCTATTATACGGTGTATCAATGTTAAAACCTAAAGATCAAGCACGTTGAGTCCCTGCGACAGAGTTTTTGTCACGTTTCATTTACATTTTTGAATATAGACCTTTACTACTTTCCCAAGAGTTGACATGAAGCAACGTCTGACGTTGATGACGCTTTCTTGAGACCCGATTTATCTCAAGATTGAATAAGCAAGCAAGACAAGCCCAGGGAGCATGACAAGAATTTTCCCCTCCTATCGAGCCCCGAAATCCGTTTCTTTCAACACAACTCGCCTACCGTCGCACACAACCATTTTCCATCGCAACATGAAATGACCTCAATGGCCTAAGCACGGGACAGCAATAACCTCCTACCCCCTATTCAAATAACGGCAAGGAGCGGGGGGAAGTATCCACATGCTAAACGACCTCTCTCGTCCTTGAGTAAACCTCACTCTGCAGGTAAAAAATTACAACATTCACAGGGAAATGGGACTTCATCTTACCTTGCATGATTGTAACCTAGATTTGCTCGCCACGATGGTTGGGTTTCTGAATGAACAGGATCGGAAATGCTTCGCCATTGCCCACTCTTATCATTTCCTCGTCCTGCACACCATTGTGCATTGTGGGACAGTCAGTACGTCTTTGTCGGTAAATACACCAGCAGTCTGCGTCCCATGCAATGCCAGCATTCTCAGTGATGATCATGGGTTCAATGGGGAAAAAGCCCCGTCTGCTGGTCTGGAAGGGTTGAGCCGTCCGCGCTTTTTATTCCCGGGGGAGCGTGGCGGAGAAACTGTTGCACTCTTGAGCTACCCAAGATCGGGTAACTCAATGTTACGAACGCTCTTGGAAGAGGCGACGGGGATTGTAACGGGCAGTGACACGCGGCCAGACCGTGTCTTGAGTCGGAGCTTGCTCAAACGAGGCTTGCGCGGCGAAGGCGTGGTGGACGAACGAGCATGGATAGTGAAGAGCCACTGGCCTGAACGCCACGGCTACCGACGGTTCCCTGCCCAACGAATCATTCTTTTGGTCCGCAACCCATTCGATGCCATCTACTCCTACTTCAACATGGGACTCACCAACACACATGAGGAGAGACTGGCCAGCGACGTGTTCGAGTCGTTGGCCCCGCTCTGGGAGGACATGGCCCGCAACGAGGCCAGGGTGTGGGCTAAATTTAACGCCTACTGGCTCACGCAAAAGTTGCCTGTGCTGGTGGTTCGGTACGAAGACCTGCTGCTGCACACCGAGGAGATGCTCGTGCGCCTCGTCAGCTTCCTGGAGAGCACTCCTCGCGAGGCAATCAGGGCCTCGCGCTCCCACATGGCCCGCATCGCCAAGAGCGCCGCTGCCATACGATCGCCTCCGATTATCCCGCCTATATCCTTTTCGGAGCTCGTGCTCGACGGGCCCCGGGGCGAGGACCAAGGTGCGATCGATTCCAGCGTCACCAGCCCCGTCACACCAGCGGGCACACACCCCGAGGTCCCCCCGCCTCCTTCCTCTCGTTCTCCACCACGCTCACACGCATGCCCAGACAAAGGAAACATCGGCAAGAGTCTACGTTTTTTCTCGCCTGCCCTAGTGGAGGACGTGGCTCGACTTGCCGGGGGCGGGCTACGCGCCTTCGGCTACGACCCTGTCTCCCAGGGGTTTCCCCACCGCGTCCTGTCCCTGCCCCTTTACGAGCGCTGCGTCAAATTTGTGGACCCAAGCCTTCTTTCACACCTCCCCGACCGGAACATAGCCCCGCCAGCGGCGGCTGCCACGGCTGCAGGATCAGCCCTCCCCGCCTACAGCATGAGGGAGCGGCGCGTGACCCTGAACACGGGAACGCAGAGGGGGGTGCGCGACCGTGCCGACCGCTTCGGTCGAGGGATCACGAGTGTACGGCATGAACTGACCGACCATGACCGTCGACCTTTGCGAACTGTTTCGGCAGGGGATTCCGGGAGAGTAAAATGAAGCACGCCTGACTACTGCATGATTAGCACTTTGTTGACTGTCGAATCGAAGACGCGCATGTAAGGAATTCTTGCGTGTGTTTTTTTCTTTCGTTGCTGCACAACGCCTCGCCCGATGTCGGGTCCTCGTGTGTAGCAGCACCTCACCCCCTCATGGCACGCGAAAATACCACGCGATCGCACTTCACTGCCCGCCTCCTTCGCATCCAGACGTCTAACCCACATCTAGGGGGAACTCGGTCGCCTTGCAAGTCCTGCAGTAATTTCCGTCATGCTCAAGTACAGATTGAAATAAATACATCATCAAGTCAAGACCCGCGTGCTGATCCATACACCTCACTATTCAGCAGCCGTGGACCGCTCCCCTTCGCGCACTCGCTCAGCCCTGTCACCGCCCACGGCCAGCCCAGCTTTCCCGCCGTCTTTCCTTTCACACATTACATTTCAATTAAAGCGTTCAACTTTCGATGATGCCATTCAAACTTCAATGAAACCCTTCGCTCCATTAAGTCCCCGTTTTTCATCAATCTGCTTTGGGCGTCTGATGATTTTCTCACGGTGCGACCCCTTGGAAGGCTTTGCGGCCTCATGTCAGCGAAGCTTGCTGCCACTCAAGCTTTTTAGTCACGACATGGTTAAATTTTCTCTAAACCATGGCACCCATACCTTTCGTTGAAGACTCGATCTCCCTTTTTTCATCAGTACTGCCTTTTCGCAGCCTGTTTGTCTCCTTATACATACATACATGAAAGTGAGGGCGAGACCCCTTTTATGGCGCTTGAAACGTGAGGCACGACCATGTGCCCCGACTATCTTTCCTCTTCATCCTCTAGTGGGTCCTTCCTTCTTGCAATTCTGCTCCGTCCTCTTCCCTCGCCTCAGAGCCCTCTTCCCCTTCACTTCAACGCCTCCTTCTACTTTGTGTCCAGAGAGGTCTCGCCGTCGTCGCGTACCTGCAAATAAGCGTTTCCAGAATCCAGCGCCGGGTCCAGTGCAGATTCCATGACTCTTTGTTTCTCGGTCTCGCACGGCATCTCTTGCCGCTCGTGCTCGAGTTGCTGCTGTGGCGGTTGCAAAAGGGCATTTGCCTCGCTGGTTTCCACACGATCCTCCAATGCCAGGTAGCCCTCCCCCTCCCCCGCCGGTCCCGCAATAGCGTTCCCGTCATCGGGGACAGAGGAGGCGTCGTGAGTGACGGATTTGGAGGCCATGGGGTAGTCTTCCAGAGGCAAGACGGCGCACTGGAAGAAGACCGGCTCGCCTGAAGCCTTGCGGACCAGCCACATGGAGACGAAGCAGTGGCAGTCGCGGTTTTCGAAGCAGCAGCGCTTCCAAAAATGTTTCGCGGACTCAGCGGGCGACTCCATCATCTTGCCCACGATGCCCATCAGCTCCTGACAGTCCTCCGCCGGGGTCAAGTCAAACACAGAGCGCTGCAGGACTTCTCCGTTCGAATACCCGGATATAATGGAGAAGGCCGAGTTGCAGTCGACGAATTTCCCGTCTAGACTGGCGACCGCCATGGCGATGGAGGCATTCTGGAACATGAGCGCATAATCGGCGCTCTTCTTGTTCGGCGCCCACGACCCCGCCTCGACCAGGGTGCCGGGGGCGATGGGGGGCCGCTGGATCATCATCCCCAGAGCTGGCCCGGAGGGCAACGAGCCGTTGCTGCTCTCTTTCCCCGCGTTCGAGTCTACTTCCACGTAGTACTTCGTGTCTCCCAGCGCATTTCCCGGCGATACTGGCATGATGGACGTCGAGGCCTGAGTGGGCGCTGCACCTGCTGCGGCTTTAGCTGCTGCGGCTGTCGCGGCGGCTGCCCTCCGGTTGGCTGCCAGCGCTTGAATTTGAGCTTGCGATTTATTTAGAAGCAGTTTAAGCTTCTTTAAGTATTCCGTGGTACTGTCGTGGGGTAGTGTAACACAGTTAGATTCCCTGGGCACCATAAATTTCTCAACGAGGCACCTTTTTTCATGGAAAACACAGAACGTGCTGCCTGACATCTCGTCTCTGCTTCCCCCCAGTCACGCACTTCTTTAAGATTGAAAACTTGTCCTTTTTGGTGTTTAAACCTGAAGCCTCGAGAAGAGAGCGCAACGACTGGATCTGCTCGTTGATTCGACGGGTCCGCTGCTTTTCAATTTCATTGAGTTCTGTACGCGTCCGCCGTGCCCGCTTTTTTCGCGGCTGCCCTTCTCCATCGAAAGAGTCGTCCTCATCATCGTCCGATTGCTCTTCTTCAACAGCGGCGGCAGCGGCGGCAGAGGCATCAACGCCCTCAAGACCACAAAGGGCCTCCAGAATGCTCAGATCTTTAAGGGAAAGGATGAGAATCGAAGAAATCAGGGACAAAGAGAGAAATATGGACACTGAAATAGGATACTGCAGACGAAATTTACGAGATTTAGGTCATAGTCTGAGCTACTGAACTCCTCGCAAATTTTGGGAGAGGACTTATGAAGCTCCGCTTTGCCGATTCCATGTTCTCCTCTCACCTGCGTCCACATCGCCCGTCTCTCCGAGCGCACTGAACAGGCTGTCAATCTCCGACATGCCCCTTGGACCCACTGCTCTGTCGGAAAATGAAGCATGGATTACCGTGAGTGAGTCGGCGCCAGCACGTACCAGTAAGGGAGTGCACTGGAAGAATGGGTAATAGTGCTCGTGAGCAGGCGCGAGCATCCCGCATAGAAGAGTGCAACGAGAGGGGGGGAACGTCTGCCCTGAGCTCGCAAGACACATCCCGAGTCGGTGGCAAAACAGGCGCCCAGCACACATTTTCAGGCATGCGCGTGTGATTTGTGTAAAACTTGCTGTACATAGCAGGGTGGTAAGTTTTCGTAGGCTTTCCGTCGTATGTCTGCGACCGTCACGGTGTTCCTGTCGCCTGCTAGCACCGGAGACAGGCTCTCGCCCACACCCCATGCTGCCTTTTCTTGCCACCCTGCCAGCCATGCGGAGAACCGCGAGCGTATCCCCGCGTGCCGATGCCGGCACTTACTGCGTCGACAACTCGCTATGCTGGTTATAGTGTTTGCGACAAGAGGTAGGCCGGGCCTGCCCTCGTCCAGTAATCTTGCGGGGAGGAATCCGCCTCCTCGTTCACCCTTCAAGGTGGGCTTAGGCCCCCTCACCAATTTCTGCTGCACCTGTGCATACGAATGTGCTTCCTGCGGGTGCGCATGGTCGCGCTGGCACGCCTTCGATGCCTGAATCCACGCTTACAATGATCATGCCTTCTAACTTCCATGTACTAAATTGGCAACTTGCAAACAGGCGGCTTGATGGCTTCGACGAAGAGCACCAAAAGTAGCTCCGAGACCCGAAACACAAATAGCGGGAATAGTAGTAGCAAATGCGTGACGAATAGCAGCTATGTAAAAAAGCCCACACCAGAAAAAGTTGGCCGCAGGTACTGTCACTCCTTGCCCTCTTCTCTGAGTCCATTTCGCTTGAAAGCGTACTCGTGGTTGGGGCAGCACTTGCGGCCTTCCATGTCGCCCGATGACTCTGAATGATATTTTCTTTTTTGGCTGTCGCAGGTTTGTCTTGACATATTACCCTGTAATGTCAAAGTCTGCGGAGGATCTCATCAAGTTCTACAAAGAGGATTCATGCTTCTCGCACGTCCCTGAGACCGAAGGTAGGAGGGATTCGGGGGGGCAAGGTCAGGAAGGGGAGGGCGCTGGGGTCCGGAGACCAGGTTTAGTTCAAACGCGATGCCAGTCTGTTGTGGATTTTTTTAGTAAGAGTTACTTTCCAGGAACGCACTGCTTTCCCAGCCGGCAAAGGTACCGTCTACTCAAGCGCCCCGACACGCGTCATCTCCCACACCCCCAGAGGGCCAGGACAGTAAAGCTGCCGTTGGGCTTGAGGAGATCCGGGCGCGTATCGAAGCCTTGAACCTGGGCGGCGCCGTGGTGGACATTCGCAGCGTGGACGTGCAGCCCTCCAAAGACGGGGCCGTGCTCGTCCTCGTTCAGGGTCTCATGCGGCGCCGGAGCGCGCCCGCCCCCTCGGCCTTTGTCCAGACCTTCTTTTTGGCCCAGCAGGAGAACAACGAGGCGCACTACTACCTTCTGAACGACGTCTTCCGCGCCTGGCCAGAAACCCCCAGCGCGCACCCTCCCTCCTTCCCCTCTTCCCCCGGCCCCCCCACGCCCGATCCCCCTCGCTCGGAGGCTTCTCCGGTGACGGCCTCGGCCGCCGCCGAGAAAGAGGGGGCGATGGCAATCGCACGGGTCCAAGCAGAAGCCATGCGGGGCCAGGAGGGCGTTGGTGTGCAAGAAAGGAAGGAGACGAAGGAGGAAGAGGAGGAGGAGGTGGAAGCTGGTGCCGTGGCGCAGGCGGGAATGGAGCGGGGCGGAAAGGAGGCTTGGGCTGGGAGTAAGGAGGAAGGGCGGGGGCGACGGCGGGAGAGGAAAAAGAAAGGGATGGAGGGGGAGGT